TTCATATACAGGGAGGATATGTTTGTATGTCCAAATTTCACCGTTTTCGAGAAAAGCATAGTTGAAAGTACAGGTAAGTTTAATTCCGACCCTGGCATTAAATAGAGCCTGCAACCAGCTTCAGCATAATATTTGCTTTCTTTTTTTTTTCTTGTACTGTTTGTTAGATTAGATTAAGTGCGACTCAGGGTGTTTATGTTAACAGACAACCCCTAGTAGCCGTTAACTATTTACAATATACTTCAGCAATACAACATCAATTACACAGGTCTGCGAAATTTTTTTTTTTNCTCCATCTTTATTAAAGATAATTTAATCAAGTCGGCAGTCAATAATTTCCAGCACAAAACTTTAGGCAGCTCTTGGAATACAGTATTTTCATCTCAAAATTTTGAAACTAAGTAATTTTATCTTTAGCTACTAATTATTATTACATCTAAATTAAAAACGTCGCCGTGTTCAACAACTTTTCCATTCCGTTTTTCTGTTTGTTTTAGAGGCGTTTCTCTACAACTCATTGTCTCAGGCCAATATTGTACAAAAATATTACAGATCATATATATATCTACATTTTTCGTAGATAAGTTTAAAATATAACCTAATCAATCCATAATAAAGACAATAACTATTGGAATCAATCGTGTTGCTAGATTATTCAAATAATATCATTTCATTGTTAATGAGACCTGTTTATTTTATATAAGTATTAAAAAAATTAGTAACCGTTTGTCCTCATATTTTGTGAACAGTCTCCCTATCTGTATTTCAAAATATGCGCCACATAGTCTAAAGATTAAACAACGCTATTCCTGTGTGTAACGAAATGCAGACATTCCAAAAATTCGCACGGTTGCTGCCATTACCGCCCGGACGCCATTTTATTTAGTGATGCACTAGCGTCTGTGAGTGAAACTCACGTCGCAGCCTGACAGCCAACTGTGCTCGGGTAAGGATTATTTGTATTTCTTCTCATGTATTATATCGATACCTTAGAAACGTTATAATAGATAAATATTTTCTGTGTCCTTCTGTATACTAGGATCCACTTCGATAATTTAGGGTGGCGGGCCATAGGTTCAAGGGGGGGGGGGTTGAAAAGAAACCAGGCTAAGACAAGTCTCTGAAAGAGGACAGCAGCTCTTTCAGTGCTCAAAGTGGCAGAGATCACGAGGATCAGTATGGCACCCTGGCAACGGAAAACCACCACATTATGGTCCCGAGTAAAACGTACAACTAGACAAATTAACTGATGACGTCCTTTGGGGTAAAGCACTCCGCACATAAGCTAGTCCCCTATTCGGATGTACGGGCGGGGATTACCTCGGGGGATGTCATCAATAAGGGCAATAGGGAAAAGTGCAACATTTGAAATGTGGTGTTACAGGCGAATGATGAGGATACCGTGGATAGAGAAGGTTAAAAATGAAGAGAAATTAGAAAGAATAGGAGAACAGAGGACTCTATGGAAGTCAATAAGATATAAGCGAGATAGGTTGGTAGGACACCTTCTTAAGCATGAAAGTCTAGTCAGAGACATATTAGAAACAGAAACGGATGTTAGGAGGGGTAGATATAGACCTAGATTAGATTAGTGTTCGCAAATAGTTAAGGATGTGGGTTGTTCTAGCTTTAGGGAAATCTAGCTCAGAAAATGAAAGAGTGGAGGTGCATGTCCAACCAGTCTTAAGACTGGCGACCTTATGACTTCAAAATAACATGGTTCAATTACATTTTGTGCTATCTTTCAATGAAATCAAATTAAACAGTCCCCTACTCCTCAACAGGACAGGAATTTTAAACTAAGTTATCAAACTTTTTGTAGACTCCGACATATTTGGATAGTCATGCCCAAAGTCGATATGCGTGACACTTGTTTTGAAATTAACCACGCAAATATAGACATGAGATTATTGGCTTTATTTAATGGAAAATTATAATAGTCATCAGAAATTGCTTCAAGAGCTCTGTTGTGATCGCTTTAATGAGAAGTGTTTGTCTAGAGAATTCAGAAGTGTGTTAATAAGATTCCTGCTTACAAAGAATTCGAAATCTTTTATAAAAATGTATAGCCTAAAAACTAGATTCCATAGACCCAAAATCGAAAAAGACTCGTTGAATAAACATTACAGTCATCATTAAGAAACCTTTTAATTTGTAACCGCGCCATCTTATTAAAGAATTGCAAGAAGAATTAGAGACGTTTTTTCGCCACGAAAGAAATATTGTATACCAGCTCGGTGTAATGAAGAAACTTAAAAGCACGCTGACGGAAAAAGATGCTCTAATTCATATGGACTTCTTGAAAATTATTCCACTGAATACGGACAAGAAATTCAGGGTTTCCATTTTGGCGAGTCACGCATACAGATAAGACCAGACACGGTTGTAGTATATTCGGAAGATACAGTTAAATTTTATTGCACAATCTCTATGAATTTTTCTCATTCTCCAGCTATCATATGAGCTCATCTAAATGCAATTTTTAATGCCTTGCGACGCTCCAGACGGCGCTGGAGCTATTTGCATACTGCATATCCCGTGGTTGCTACTGAAAGCGATGTCGAAAATCTGGAGAAATTGTAGAGGCCATTGAACAGAGATGTCTTGTAATTAGTTTATGGGAACACTCGGTATAACAAGAAAACATTTATTGTTGTGTATCAATTAAGCCTCTACATTTGTGCTGACTTAATTAGGTCGCGACACACTGCGGCTAACTAGGTCAACGGCAAATATATATACAAATGTAAAGTGCTGAAATGTTCTTTGCCATTTAAACCATGTAAATAAATTTGTATAAATACCCTGTAAATATTCGAATAAATTAATCTAACACCAGGCTCGCTATTATTAGATACTGCAACAGTATCAACTCCTGAATACCGCAAGGTATCAACCATCGGATGCTGCACCAGTGCTACCTCTCATCCTAGGCACAGCAATGTGTTCAACGCTTTTATAAATCGGTTCTTCTCAGAACCACAACTTGCTAGTCACATCTCTCATCTCATACGACAGAGTGTGGCTACAAGTTTAAGCATTATACTAGATGATGTGATTAAAGAAATAAGTGCTGAAATCGAATTAGACGTAACTAAAGCTCAATGTGCATCAAGTCACTGGAAAATTCTATAATCATTTGGGTATAAAGTCAAAATCTACTCAGATAATGAAGAAAACCCTAAGCTACTTTTGTAATAATGATTGCTGTCTACACTTTAATATCGAAAAAAGTTATTTATGAAGACAGGCCAAAACTTATTTTGGAAGACGTTTTCACTGATTAAGAATGTGAGAATGAAGTTGGACATAATTCTGCTACAGTAAAAACAATTTAATACTGGTGATTATATCCTCATCAAACTGTTTGGCAGAAATATGAAATATAGATATGTGAGCGTTATTAACAAGATTGATGAAGGAAATGGCGAAATCCGTATCACATTCCTACAGCACTGCGATAATAAAAGACGAACATTTAGATGCCAAGACGATGTGGCAGACGGTACAATGTACCAAATGGTACAGAAGCTCCTTGATCCAAATATTATTTAAAAAGGAATAGAATATTATACAAACATCTGTAGATCTTTCTGAAAAACAATAAGACTTGGTTCTACTATATTTACTTATTCATACTATATTTAAGTAATAACTAAATTATAATTCATTATAATGAGACTAATTCTATAGTCATCATCTTCATAAGGTCAACAGTTCTAAGACTGGTTGGACACGTACCACCACTCTTTCCTATCCTGAGCTAAACTTCGCATTTTCCTAAAACTAGAACAACCCACATCCTTAACTATTTGCGAACAGTAATCTAACCTAGGTCTACCTATACCTCTTCTAACTCCTGCTTCTGCCTCTAATATGTCTCTGACTAGACCTTCATGCCTACCAACCTATCTCGTCTATTTTTTATTGACTTCCATAGAGTCCTGTGTTCTCCTGTTCTTTCTAATACCTCTGCATTTATAACCTTTTCTATCCACGTTATCCTCATCATTCGCCTATAACACCACATTTCGAAGGATTCTAACCTTTTCTTTTCCGCCACGCCTGCTGTTCATATTTCGGCCCCGTACAACGTCGCGCTCCAAACATACACCTTTAACAACCTTTTTCGAATTTCTAAATTAACCGTTTGCGAGCATAGAAGTGACTTCTTTTTATTAAAGGCGACAGGACCTTGCGCTATCCTCTGCTTTATATCCCTACTACTTCTTCCGTCCTGACATATCTGACTTCCTAGATACCTAAAATCGGCCACTTCTTCTAATTTTTCGTCTCCTATCGTTATATTCGTTCTTTCCCTACTTTTTCTTCCCTTGCATACCAGTATTTTAGTGTGAGATTCAAAATAATTAAACGTTCTTTCAATGAATACGATTTTAATTGTGCGTTTCAGAAAATACTACAAACGGCACAGTGAACGCCATCTGTAGCACGATGCTACAATACAGACCACTTCTAATTATTTTATACGATTTTAATTGTTACTAATTACATACTAAAATTGAGTTAAAATTTGAATATAAATAGAAGATTATTAAAAAAAACTTGGCTTTTTTGTTTCTTTATTGTTTAATTACTCCAAAGTTTAATTAAAACGAAAAAGATTTAATTTTCCTACTGGAATAGTAATTTTTATTTAAATGCACAGTTCCCTGGCATAGGCAACAGTCCTCTGTATCGATTTTTCAAAAAATGCTCTACATTTTCTAAAGTAATGGAAATACTTTTGGTTCATCTGTCGTGAATTAATAGATGGATAGTGATTCCCTATTAAATAAATCTATAAGCAAAAAAATGCCTAAACAGCTTTTTTATAAAGAGTTGTCCAGTTTACAGACGAACGCCCTTAGACGAGATTGTTAACTGTCATGAAGAATTGCAGAATGCTTATAATCATTATTGCAAAGATGGTGGTTTAAATTTGCCATGATATCATTTTTTTATATTATTCTCTCCAAAATGCCACAATCATCACTTACCTACTATTCAAAATCAATAATAAAAGCCTGAAGATAAGTAACCATTATATTTTTCATCTATCCCAATTACTTAAAGCACAATTAATTCACCCAGAAAAGCTGCACTAAGGTCCACTAACTTAGTTGTAAGTTGTATAACTTCACACACACCTGCACATATTATGTGAAAAATTCATTTCACTTAGCACACGCACCGTCGTATGCAAAAGTTTCACTAAACTTATTAAGGAGACATACATATATCATTCCGTGCAGCTGAATATTTTATGCTTATTTACGTTAGCAATTCTTTCCAAGGTAAATTATTGTATTCACCTTGTTAGCACATTCAATTATATTAGTTTTCACGATCCAACCTTAATTTTAGAAATGGAGTTGCTAGCTCAAAATATCATACACAGATTTGCATTAAATCTATCGTTTAAGTCACGAAGATAAGATAATTTTAATTCTACAATTTAATCTCCATAATTCGCAATCCCTTGTGCAAACACATATACCTAGACTAATACGCATTTTTTTTAGGCAGATCCTATGCAAGGGAAGAAAAAGTAGGGAAAGAGCGAATATAAAGATAGAAGACGAAAAATTAGAAGAAGTGGCTGATTTTAGATACCTAGGAAGTCAGATAAGTGAGGATGGAAGGAGTAGTAGGGATATAAAGCAGAGGATAGCGCAGGGTCGTGTCGCCTTTAATAAAAAGAAGTCACTTCTATGCTCGCGAACGGTTAATTTAGAAATTCGAAAAAGGTTGTTAAAGGTGTAT